GCATGTAAGAATTATAAGCCATATAAAGGCATTCAAGCCATATAAAGGCATATAAAGTCATGTAAGCCATATAAAGGAATTTCAGCGTAAAAGGGTTATAAAGCCATATAAAGGTCATTTAAATCATATAAAGGCACATAGAGTCATTTAAATGCCTTTATATGGCCTAAATGCCTATGGCTTATTGAAGAACTGAACGTAGGAAGTTCACACCAATCGCTGCTTGCAAAGCCAGCGCACAAGAAGCAGTCGATCTCTTTTCAGGGATCGCCTCCGATAGCCATGAGGTTGCTTCGAATTGGAAAACACCAAGGGCCCGTGCTTGTACCCATACAGCGGCGAAACGCCGAGCATTCGTTCACACGCAGCTGCTGAATCCTAACAGGCTTCAGACCTCAGCTCGGTTTTTACACGCCCTCAATGTGAAGGCCATTGAGGTGCTGTCTACACACAGCATGGGAAAACAATCACAAAGCTACGGGCCATTGACATGGCGAACTCAGTCCTCCTCTATACAAAGGTGCGATTACGACCCTCCAGCACACTCTTGCGTACTGCTGCTGGAAAATCAACTGCAATCAGAAATGCCACAAAGTCCGTGGCCTTCCCAGCCTTAGGATCCTTTGCGTCATTGGCATAGGTGTTGCGGAGCCAGCTGATGTAGGAGAGCATGTTCGAATCGTCCCATGCCTTAGCCAGCATGCCCTTGCACGACAGCTGGAGGTCTCGAAACTTCGGCAGGACAAAGAGGGTCTTTGACCAGGCACTCAGGTCCGGGATGCCGGGCGGCAACTTGTAGTTGGTCATGGTCGGCATCACGCTGGCGATCCTAATGAGGTCCCGGGCATCGAGCTGCGTCGGAGGTCCTCTCATTCCGGCGGAGCGGAGGTCCACCAGGAGCATTCGACCAGGAGCTTGACGATGTAGGAGTTGGGGCAGGCTGCCCCTTGCGTCCCTTCATGGTAGTAAAGGGCTAGTTGGGGTGCGGCGGCTGCCAGAAGGTGGTGGCGGCCCTTGCGGAGAAGTGCCCGCTCCATAACCATCCGTGACCATGGTGAAATCCGTGTCCGAGGAAGTCGGTGGCCTTGGCACAGTTGATGAACTCCCCAAAAGTCACCATCTTGGCTGGTGTCAGCGGCTCCAGCTGGCTCCTAGCCTGCTTCGCACTGCGGGCTGCCATGCTTGCAAGGGAGAGAGGATGACACGGGAAAAGTCACGGGTTACTAGGTCCAGAGGGGACCAGGCACAGGCTGAGGCTGTATCGGCGATCAATCACAAAAAGCACAAGGTGTTCTGGCTAACTACCTTCGGCCAGCACATGAACACGGGTGTGGTCTCACACGGGGAATTATTGGGGAGGACTCGTTATTCGGGTCCTACAACAAAACAACTACAAACGAATTATCCCTCGTCCTATAAGCAGAGGTGGGGGCCTAAACCCTATTAGGCAATATCCGCCCTCTAGCCTACAACCCTGAAGGGCTTAGAAAAACATCCACATGGCGGGGTCCTTCGGAACCTGCGGGCCTTGGAGATGAGATTAGCCTTGGTCTCCTTCCTGCCGGATTCCTTACAGGGCCTTGCATGGTAAACACATTTGTCCATGACCTTGTAAGGGATATCCTTGTTTCCTTTTAGCTTAGTCAAGCAATCCGCGATCATCTGCAAGTTATTGGTCCAGAAAGGAACGACACGCTGATCGGAAAGGCAGGCACGAGCAATGGCATAATCGATAGCAAGCCGTTTTTCAATGGCCAGGGCACTGCTGCAAGCCGAACGCGTGAGGGCGTCATACCGCGACTTGCTGTCAATGACGAGTCCAGCTGATGCTTCAGGTGACCACTTCCTAAATTCCCGGGGCGACACGCCATGAAGCACTTCTTGGAGGAATGCCTGCGCAAACTCTATAGCATCTAACCCGTTCTGGGCAGCCATGGTCTCGGCTGCAGTGGAGCTTCTCACAACCCGCCTAAGCTTCTTGGAGGACCACTCTATAATCCAAGTTATCCCCGCCTCTCGGTCCAAGACCTGCTTCTCGCAGAGGCAAAGTAGGAGCCCACCTTGGGACTCACCGCTCTCCCGGGCCCCCCATCCAGCATCAGTCACTGCCAGGATTCGCCATGACTCAATGGGAACACAAGGAAATTTGAGACAGAGTTTTCTCTGTTTCATCTCCCGGACTGCTTTGTTGTAAAGAGACAAATGACTGACAGTCGCTCGATCCTGGATGCCCTGCAAATATGATGCAAGAAAGGCTTGACCCGGCCTACTGTGATTAGCGACCCACGCCAGCTGGCCACAGCACGCACGCATCAGCGACGGTTCAGGAAGGGTTTCCGAGGCTGTTCCAAAAGGCTTGGTAAGCTTATCGATGTAGGCTTCCTGGCTTACTTCGATACTGAAATCAGGGTTCTGTCTAATCTCGGCACCGGTGTACTTGATGGTCTTAGTGCGAAAATCTCCGAAGGGAAGTTTTTGGCGCAACTTTTCAAGACATTTATCCATGGCCTTAGTACCCCCACCTAGAAGATCGTCCACATGGACCCCGCACACACCAAGGAGTTCACAAGAATGCTCACAGCGAAGAATGAACACGCATGGGTCTGGCTGACTGACTGTCAGCCCAACTGCTGCAAGCTCTCGTCAGTCAGCCCAACTGCTGCAAGCTCTCGGGAAGCCGCAGAAACCATGCTCGGGGCGCTTCGGCCAAGCCGTACGCTGCCTTCTCGAGCCGGAGAACATCATCGGGCTCAAGGCCCATGATCTCCTGAACCTCTTTTGGCGGCTTAAAGAAAAGGTCGCGGTTGGAAGCATCACCTGATAGGAATGCCGTCTTGATGTCGGCTCCCCAGATCACCCATCCCTTGCTAGCGCAAATGCTCAAGATCACATGTTTGCTCTCCTTACGCAAGGTGGGACTATCAGTGGCTATCCGACCCAAATCCGGATCTTGAAAACCAACTAATACCAGTCTAGCTTTTGGGGTAACTGAACGGTCATCGGGATCGGATGACTTCTTCCATGTGAGCACCCAGCGAGAGCCTATGATGCGGGCTCAAGGTATCCCTCTACCCTTCACGATTGTGGTGACCTTGTTCTCCAGCCAACTTTGCCATTCCTTGCACATGGCCTGGCGGAAACGCTGTTGGTCATCCGTGCCAAGCTTTGGAAAAACAACTTCGACTCTGCGTTTCTGACCCGGTTTCGGTGTCACCATGGCACACTCTTCAAGGACCTGCCACAAGGATGCATCATCCCGGATATCTGACAAGAAAACATCAAGGGAGATCTCACAACACATGGCATCTTCTGAGGGTGGCATGTCTACTTCAGGGCCATGAGAGTCGCCAGGGCTGTTGCTTGGCCCTTCACTTAGTGGGGCGAGGGGAACCGGTTCAGCTGAGCCAGCAGGCTCATCAGGTGCAATGGAAGGGGAGTATCCAGCCATCCCATCATCTTCTACGGCTACACGCCTGTTCTTAGGTGATGGAGATTCATCTACGTCGCCCTCTCGGTGACGGACAGATGGCTGGCCCCGGGGAGAAATCTGGCCCGAGCAATATTCACGCGCAAGATGGCGGAATGCCACTTCATCCTCAGGCACAGGACGAAGGCACTCGGGCGAACACTTATACATGAACCCGTTAACCACAACCCAGATTACCCTCGGAACAGGACTATCTGGACGAAAGCTTTCAGTACCCACGACTCGCCCTGGGCCAAGCCACGTGCCATGCCTTGTTGACAGGAGCCCTCTGGAGTCTTACGGAACACATATACGTTTCGACCCACCGTATACGGACCCCTAAGTGGACGAGATCGCCCGCGGATGGCACGTGTCCAAGTCGTGTGGGCATGGGCTTCCATGAAAGCCTCTGCGGCACTCAACCGAACTTGCATCTTCTGAGAAAAATCTTGTTCGGAACGAACAGCATCTTGAACAGCAACATTGTTCTGTTCGGTGACATCGGCCAAACTGCCAGGGACAGGGGGCTCTCTGCCTAGAAACCACTGGGCCGAAGAGAAACCATGCCTCTTATATATAAGCTGTTCATTCCGGACACTCGCGCAAGATTCGATGACTTCATATGATGGCCTTTCTGCGGTCCTCCAGACACGCTGGGCCATGCGTCGCAAAATCTTCTGAGCAATCTCAACCCTGCCCAGCTGCCAGTGGGACTCGGATGCACTGTCCAACAAGGTGATGGAATTTTGACGGAGGTACTTCTGAAAATCCCCAGACATCCAACGCTGATCTGGATCCACATACACCACCTTAGGAGGTCCATAAGGACGGCACCACATGTCATGAAAAGCCTTGCTGACGCTACATGGGCCGGCAGGTGTGAGAATCTGCTGGGCAAAATCCGACGCATAATCCACAGCTGTGAGCACGTTGAACTTTTGTTCCTGCATCCCATTTGGACCCTCCTTCGTAAGTTCAACCTGAACTACGTCGAGGCCCACTATATGATTCGGGGTTTCAGTATGCCTCAGAGCAGCCACTTTGTGGGAAGGTGGAACCTGTAACTCCTGGCAGATAGGACACTTAAAGGACTTGACAGCGGTGATCACAGCTGCAGGTCGTGTTAACGTGAAGTTTGTTGATCATTGCCGCGTAGGACACATGACGGTCCCCTTCCTCCTCATTGCCGGGCTCGGCATCAGGAGATTCTTCTTCCCGCTCTGAGTCTGCATCGGCTTCATCATCGGTATTCAGAAAAACATCATGTGAAGGGTCAACATCATCATCATCATCATCATCATCATCTCTAGAAGCAAAGTACCGTGCAACACGCTGGCACAACTTAGTGGGATAAACTTCAGCCGCACGGGTGCGAGAACCTCCTTCAAGGTGCGCGTGGGACTGGTGTCCCGGACAACGGCAGGCACGCAAACAGGCAACAAGCCCTGGGTCGCTTGACACAACACGGGCAGGCTTAAGAATAGGAAGCTTACTTTGAGGACAGGTCAGGCCTACCGAACACATGTGAAAGTCAACCTCAAAAGCTGGACCCAGGACGATTTCCTTCCAGGCTCGGGGCCCGGTAGGATTCTCAGCATGGATGTGTCCACCCTGCATGGTTTGCAACGCCCAACTGCTCAAAAAGTCTTAACAAAGGCCTGGCAGATTGTCTCTTGTCTAGGACATTCTGAGCGCATTGATCCCCCTTTGCAAGATTCATACGGGACCACGCAGACCAACAACCACAAGGCCATGCAAACCAGACATCCTTCGGCCGACACATCCCGATGAGAAGAAGCAAGAGACGTCTGTCCCTTGCACGCGAAAAATCCTGACCAGAAGTTGTCCCTAACCTAATGCTCGCTAAACCCCTAAGTTTTTCAGAGGCACTAGACAGGGGGGCCTTGGAGGTAAAAACTTCTATGAGGCCAACTGTCTGGTCAAGAGCCCAGGCCTGATTTCCTAACCAGGCTGCCAGCTCACGTTTCACGGCACCGGGGTCCTCCCGGATGGACGACAATGCAAGCTGGAAGGGAACCCTTCTTACTGATTAACTTGGCTTGCCACCTTTCCCCGGCTACGTGTAGGCACCGGCAGATGCTCTAAGGTGAACCCAATCAACCTCTTCATAAACCGCCTCTAGACCCTCATTATCAGCCCCAGTAGAACTCCTATCCTGATGACTTCAGCCGCGCAAGCCTCCTCGTAAGTGCAGCAATTGCAAGGGCTATCCTGGGCTGTTACAGCTGGCGCCTCGGACTCAAGGAGAGGTCCTGGCCTCTGATATCGGTATCCAAACACGCAGGCCCCCGCTTTTGGGGAAAGCCGCCCTCCTGGCTAAAGGGGGGCGTTCACTCCAGTCTGAGAAGGTTAGTTGTCCGGTTGGTGACAGGCAAGCCACGCGTGAAAACAAGGTCTGGCTAGCTGCTGGAATGCGTTCAAATCTGGGATTGTAAGCACAAAGGGCAAAGTCTACGTCTTGTCCAAACAACATCCTGAGGTTATATCTATAGGTTCCTACATCAACTTGGGTATACCGAGTATGCTTCATGATGGTTTGGAAATGTCGACGCCTTTCACCTAAGGTCACGGCAGTGGCTTGTTCAGAACTCTTATACGACTTACGGGGACCCTTGAGGGTTTCAACCTTGGGGTCTTTCTTAGGGGGTTGGCTGTCGGACGCAGAAACCTTGGGAAGGTCATGTTCAGGCGGAGGTACACCCTTAGGGGGGCTATAGTTAAGATCCAGTCCTTCTGCGGGGGCTACAATCTAGAACTCGCCAAGAGCGCCCTTGTCTGGGACAAGTGGCATCAGGAGATGCCCATTGCTTGCTTGATGCGAAGGGACATCACGCATGCCATGCTTGGCACTTGTCAGAGTGCCCTTGCCCAAGTCAAGGGTGGCATCCATCCCCTGCAAGACCTTCCTTGAAAGCAGGAACGGAGCGGCACCAGGAACAACATAAGTAGTGATCTGACCCCACAAGTCTCCTATCATGACTGTCCACTTCAGCCCCTTACTTTGTTCGTGGAGACATTGTGTCAGAGTTCGCCTACATGGCGCAGGCGGACGAGGCTCCGACCGAGATCGAAATCATGGCGGTGGACATTCCCCCCGCGCATGGCACCGGCTTCCTCTTTCGGACCCCTGCGGCCGCCCCTGCCACCCTTCTTGCCGTCTTTCTTGTCGTGCTTGAAGGTTGGCTGCACCGGGAGGTTGTCAACAGGAGGCTGTCCGCCAGGGGGAATTGCCACAACAGGCATGTAAGGCTGCTCTCGAACATGCCGGCGGCTTTCCTTGTAGCTTCTGACGGCCCGCTTGGCCGACTGCTTCGCCTTCTTGTGGATCTCGTAGGCCTCCTCCAGCTCCTCATCGTCAGACTCCTCGTCCGCCTCAT